GTTTATCTAAAAACACAGTCTTATTTTAGCACGGTGCCTAATTCGGCGCATTAAAGATTTCTAATATAATATTTTGTAAACTATCAGTTAGATCGTATAATTTTGGTACTATTCGATTCGTCTCGATAAGATGAATCAAATGGTACCAAAAATCACATGATTCCAATCAACAGTTCATATGATATTGTTAGTACACTGAATTAGACACTGTGCCAATTAAACTTATCTATCTTATATTGGTTAAATGATAATATCTTACGAACTATTAATCAGAATTATGTGATTTTGGTACCATTCGATTCGTCTCGATGAGGTGAATCGAATAGTATCAAAATTACATGATTCTGATTGATAGTTGTTAGTGTGCTAAATTAGCACTGTACCAAATTAGGCATATTTACCTTATATGTTGTACTCCAGATGGGAATTGTCCCAATTCAGAATCTGGCTATCCTAATTCAGAATCGGGGTAGCCAGTTTTGGAATTCTTAAACAGGGTACCTGGATTAAAAATTAGAATTTAACTGAATATATCACATGAAATATATTCGAATCGAATTTCAATTATATAATATTTACAAAATTTTTTAACTATTGATACCTTTACTAGAGCCTTTATTTTATCAATTGAGCATTGCTACTTGTATTAAATTCAAATCTGAATTTATTAATCAAGTAATAATAATGATAATTAACATATTCATAAACTCTAAACTAATACTATTCTCATCCAATTCAAGTTTACTAGTTATTGAGCTTTGTGTGTCTTTTTGAAGTAATAGTCAAACTTCTTTAGTTAGCATTAGTAAAACATTATGTTATTAAAAATGCAGCAGAACGTATAAACATAAATTAATTACCAAGTGATTATATATATTTTCTTCTAATTAATTAAAGCCTCTGGGGTTTGATCTTTGTACTTTTAATTAATAAAATCTCATGTTTGAGAAAGTATAGCAGATTATATTAACATAGATTAGTTATGCAGATAATCAATTCAAGCTAATTGATCGTATGAGTACTGTTAAGTGTTTGAAGCTAAAACTTCAATTTGGGCATAGCGATTTTATCAATCAAATACTTTTGATAATAAAGTAATGAAGTACATGTAGAGAAACTTGGAGCCTAATGCTTTGAATAAAAAAAGCAATACGTGATAATAATTGTTATAACCCGATTATATGTAGTATTTTATGTCAGTACAAAACATAGATTTTGCAAATACAAATTTGAAAAACAAAAAAATTGAATTATTATTTGACCCTTCAGTTTTCAAGCCTTGTGCTTGCATTTTAAACTTTTTGGATAGCACCCACTTCCACATAAAATATTTGCCTTTCTGCAAGAACATCGGGTCATAAGACAATCACCCTTGCAATTGCACAATTTATTGCCAGCAATAGCATTTAATTGTAATCTTGCAGCTTCGATTACACTAACAGTTGTAGTGGTTGGAGAATCATCAAGCTCTGAAAATTCTTTTGGTCCTAGGAGTAAAACTTCACTGGCTGGAAATGCATTTTCAAGAACACCAAATCGGCATACAAGGCGATATATATTGTTTGGAAGTACAGAAAATACTTTACATGGTAGTGTACACCAATCACCAGGTTCACGGTCAATCTTAGCGATTTGTACTTTAACAAGGTCATCAGCTTTATAATTACGCTTATTAATATTGTATTTGGTACACATTTTGTGCTCTATTTTGAAACGATAATCTTCAAGATTTCTATTCGCAGCTTGTCGATAAATATTGTGCTAGTGAATTGGATTATTTGATGAATCTTGAAGAATTTGAAGATGATGTTTTTTATATGGCATAAAATTATACGAATTAAGTTCATCATTTTCCTATTAATAAATCAAAATATTAAAATTAATAAAATAGACTTTACAATAATTACTGTAAAAAAATAATTTAATTATAATAACTTATCTCTTAGGATTTGTTTTTGATTATCACTGTCAAATTGTGTTTGTTGACTATCAAAGATGGATTGTTGCATTATTTTGTGACCACCCTCTTTGTCTATATTTTAATCAATATTTTCTGCTTCACTTTCAGGATCAGATAATTCATTTTCTAAATTAAAATGTGTTTAATTAAAAATTTAAATTTTCAAAAAAAATTTAACTTATATTTTACCTATTAATATTATCTGTGTTCAAATATACAGGACCGCAACTACCTTGCTGAATAACTAAATTTTGCCTATCATTATTCATAAAATTAATATCACTATTGCACAAAATACCTTTATCGTCTATATCCTTTATCTCTGGAGACACAGAGTTATTATTAAATTGTTGAGTTAAAATTTGCTCATCATTGTCAAAATGATCACTATGATACATATCATCACTGCTATCTATATTTTTGATATCACTTTCACTTTCAATAATGTTTTCTAGTAAGTCTTCCTCCATATTAACATTGTGCTGCTTCTATTCTTTAACCATATTGAAATGTCATAATGGATATTGTCCAAAAACCAATTTGTATAGAGTGCAATTAGTAGGCCTGGAATAATGAATGTTCATAGCATATATAACTATGGGAAGACCGACGCTCTAATTTCTTTGCTAGTTATCCTCTATCCACATAGAAAGTGCATTTTTTAAAGTCTTGTTAGTATTTTCAACTAGTCCCTGTGATTGGGGGTGGTGAGGATACCCATTAATTATGTGAATTTCTTTTCATAAGCTAATAAGCTCATAAATAATCTGAGCTGTAAATTCACACCCATTATTGCTTTGCAAAATACAAGGAGGCCCAAAAACAGTAAAGACTGAAAATAAGAATGTAGAAACTTCTGAAGCCTCCTTAGTGCATAATGGACATGTCCAGGAAAATCTGAAAAAATGGTCCCTAAGATGTGCAATATATCAGTACTTTTTGTCTGGATATTTTTCAAAGGAAACCAGATCAATTTGAACTTGTTGTAAAAATTTATTTGAAATTATAGTTTTCCCAATTATGGGTGCAGGAAAGTTTCTACGCATGCAATATTGTATACACCATGCAACATACAACTCCACGAATGATTTAGAAACGTATGCATATTGTCTACTTACTGCCTTATAGGTTTTTTCAAACCAGAATGCTGCTGTGTACTACTATGCATCTTACCAAGAACATTGTAAAGATTCTGAAATAGGCAAATGACATCGTCTGTTTTTCTTTTGCATTTTTTATTTCCATAAGCTGAATAATAGGGTTTTGAGGCGTTCCAAAATCATGTAAATAAAAACTATTCTTTGCCCAAAAACGATCCTTTGCAGTTCCATTAGACACGTCTTTGGGATTTTTTAGGATACTTATAATTAAATCATAGTCTTCCTGCGTAATTATTGCTTTCCTTTTTTGTTTGGATTTACGACTTGATAAAAATTCAGACACAAGCTGGTCAAAAGCAGAACGAGAAATAAAAGGAAAATCATTGTTTGCATCCATAATATTGACTATTTGATGAGTTTTTAATAAAACTAAAGCTACTAAAGGTTCAATTTCTTAGGATCTCATAATAGTGGGTAAAGTTTTTTTTTTAAATTCACTTATTATTTTTTTTTATTACTAAGCGCGCTTTATTAAATAATCATTATATCATTTTATAAATTGAGAATTAAATTTTTAACAAACAAATTATTTATTTTATTTCCTGATCTGAAACACAATAAGCAAACACATGTATAGTCTATTTTATGGGTTATTGTGAACAGCAAATGATAATAAATCAAAGGATATTGATCATTATTATACAGATTCTTAATCCAGGTACCCTATTTAAGAATTTCAAAACCAGCTACCCCGATTCTGAATTGGGACAGCTGGATTCTAAATTGGGACAATTCCCATTCGGAGTACAACATATATATTCAAATAAAAAAAGTTTATTAAATTTAGCTTGGTAGTTGTTGAGATATCTTTGTTCAAAATTTAATAAATAAACTTTAATTTGTATGAGGAATATAAATAGCAAATTTGGGGTACAAATAGCAATTCCTCTTTACAAATTTTCTATTATATTCAATTAAAAGCTATCTTTACCATATTTGTATATAATAACACTCCTGCATGCTATTTTGAACACCTGCATATTATTTTGAAATACACATACATACTATTTTAAATCAAAATATTATTTTTTTTGAAATTCTGTACCAGTATTTGAATTGGTTCCAATCAACTTACTGATGAACACTTCAAAGACATCGAACTTACTTCACAACAAGCTTTTTTTACAGATAGTTAATTTACAGTTAAGTTCATTTTATAAACAAATAGCCCACTTTACAGACAAGTAATATTGGTAGCATTAGGTTTAAAATCAGAGTTAAGGTTAAAGTAATTATAAAAAAAAAACTTGTAAAATGAAATATACTGTCTGTTTGCAAAGTGAACTTGTCTGAAATTAATCATTTGCAAAATAAGCTTACACAAAAAAAAAAATTTCAAAAAATATATACTGATTTTTTTCAGATTATCATTCCACTATTATTCAAAAAATGCTCATTTTTAGAACTAAACAGAACCATAATAAATTTTGGGTAAAAATCAAATCTGGATAAGATTTGACTTCTAATATTTTATACATTATTATATTTAAAAGTTGAATCTTACCTGGATTTGATTTTTATCCAGAATTTATCATGACTCTATAAGAATGTCCAGGAATTTGTATATAATCTAGAGAAAATCTGTATATGTTTTTTAAAAAATTTTTATAGGGATGTTGGTGAAATAAATTTAATAAATGTAGTATTTGAAGTGATTGTTGATGAAATGGTTTGAGCACTATGTTATATAAGGTAGGTGTGTATTATTTCAGAACATGCATGGGCACTATTTTAAGCAAAAAAGCTCAATTATTTAAAAAATCAAAATCTGAATTAATACCCCAGCCCACTATTATGCACAAATATAATATTTAAAGTTAATTAGATATACTAAATTGATATATAAGCGTTACCAAGAGAAAACCTGTTACAGTAAAACCTCTATAAGTGCACACACTTGGGACCAAGCTTTAACAATGTGCATCTAGAGATTATTAAGAGAAAGTGCATTTATAGAGACATGTATATATTTGGGCCAGAACTTGAGTGTGCATTTAAGAGAGTGTGCACTTATAGAGGGTGCACTTATGGAGGCTTTACTGTATCAGGTTTTCAATTATATTTTGTACTGTTTCCTAATAATATTAAATATTAAGTGATAATCCATGAGTAGCCGGTACTAGTACCATAATAAAAATTGGGGCAAATTTAATATAAATTTTATAATAGAGCTCAATCTGGTGCTGCTACCTTTCTTCAAGCTCTAGAAAGTTGTAGAGCTCATTTTTGCGACTCTAATGATAGTAAGATTGTTAAAATTGACCTTGTAATTCTTGAGATATCTTAACTTTTTTCTTAAAGATCATATAAAATATTTTACAAAATTATAAAGAAATTTTATATGACCTTTAAAAGAAAACTTTAGATATCTCAATAACTACAAGGCCAATTTTAACGATCTTACTGCCATTATAATCACAAAAATGAGCTCTACAACTTTTGTTAGAAATTGGAGAAAGGTTAACTTAGTAAAAATAACTTTTCTTTATAGCAGCACCAGATTGAGCTCTATTATAAAATTAATATTAAATTTGCCCCAACTTTTACTATGATACTAGTGCCGGCTACTCGCGGATTATCACTTAAATAGATTGTTTCCGGTACGAAATATAATTTAAACCCAATGACAAATTTCCTTGGCAGTGCTGTAACCATGGGAGAGACTTGGCTAATGTGAGGTCAAATTAGCTCAGAGTTACAAACATAGGTTATGCGAGGTGAATGTTTTATAAAGGATTCGGAATTAATGATAGTAGGTTGTATACGATTCGTAACAGTAAGGTACGTACGTTATTTATTGCACGTCCGTAATCTGATTTCAATCACTGTTATTTGAAAAGGCTTATTATTACGAAGTTAAAGTTGAATATATAAAAAACGTATTTGGTTATATTTTATTTTTTTTTTGCGATTTTATAAATTAATTTTTTTTTATCTAACATAAGTAAAGTGTGTATTTTCGCGGAATAACGCCCAGAGGTGTAATTTCGAATTTTGGCCTAAATTAAGCTTAATTCGGGCCAAAATTCGAAATACACCCCTGTGCGTTATTCCTCGAAAATACGGTAATAACCCTATCGACCTCTAATAGAGAACAAATTTTTTAATAAAGTTAATAAAAAAAAATTAGAATATATTTTTTTTAAAAAAAAAAGAATTAAGAAAATGGAAGAGAACAATATTTTCGGTATCACTTCATTTTTAGTTATTTATTCATACTGTCAAAATATTAGGCCAACGTGTTAGATAAATTTAAAGATCAGTATAATATAACAAAAATAAAATCTAAATATTTTCTTTATGAAAATAATATGAGTTCACGAATAAATAATGATAATTTAGCTCTTTTGAGTTATCTTCATTCGAAAATAGTAGAGTTAAGTAAAAAAGTATCATTTAAGTAAGAATATGTTGAACAATTAGCATGGTATTCGCTATTTTAATTTTAAAATTAAAAGTTTTTATTTTTTTATATAAATATTTGTTTAGTTAATATTAAAAGGCAACTTTTGAATTTATAAGTTTTTAAATTATAATTCAGGTATTTTTTTTTAATAGTTTATGACAGTCAAGTCTTATGCTGGGAATATAGTCAGAAATTAGTGGCTTAACCTGTCACAGATTACAGACATGGCACTTCTGAAATCTGTGCCAGGTTATGCCGATCACCAAATCGAAAAACATTAAGTACAGATTTTAATTTACATTATATTTGATATTTATATATACTCATATAAGTAAAATTTCGTGCTGAAAACTTTTGTTTATAAGTCAAACACGGTTATCATAGTAAAATCTTGAGTTACTTACGATTTTTTTTGGTTTCTCAATGAGAAAACAGAAAAATCGTAAATAACTCAAGATTTTACTATGACAACCGTAGTTTGACTTATAAACAAAAGTTTTCAGCACGAAATTTTAGTTATATAAGTATATATAAATATCAAATATAATGTAAATTAAAATCTGTACTTAATGCTTTTCGATTCGGTGATCGGCATAACCTGGCACAGATTTCAGAAGTGCACAGACATGCTTATTTTTATTACTTCATTTACGACTCAAGCGGAATTCTCCTGATTGTCCATCTTTATTAGTTTAGCCATCATATTTATACATTTCAAATGATCGTGGTCTGGGACCAAGATCTGTGGTCTCAAACTAAGATCCGTGGTCTCGAACCATCATACATACATAGCCACTTCATAACGAAATACAGGAAAAATATATACATGGAAAAATTTAACAAAAATTTTTACAACAGCGGCACAATATGCTTAAGTATATGCTCAATTTCTATATCCAGTCAATGGTTTAGACATAGTCGAATGTGCATAGATATGACAAGACCATTCATACATAACAATAATAAGTTCTTAAAGCTTGTAATGTTTCGTATTGATAGAAGGAAAAACTTTTAAACATCCAATCTAAGAAATATACAACTACCTATTTGTATGTATACCATTAACCATGAAGGTTTTACTGAAATAATCCGTAGTAATTTAATTAATTTATTTTTTTTTAAAAAAAAAGACATTTACAAATTTGAAATGGCATCTTGATATAATAATTACATTCTTGATCAAAGTAAACCATCATCATTAATCATTAAAAATACTATAAAAGCAATAAAAAAATTGTAAAATTTAGTAGGTTAAAAACTATGAATGGTGAATAATAAAATAGATTTATTGTTTATTTATTGTGATTACGTACCAAAAAATTTTTCTTATCTTCTGGTGATTGTGGAGGTGGAGGTGGTGGCATGCCTTCAGAATTATATTGTTGAGCTGGCGGTATATCAGATTTTTTATGATGAGGTAATACAATTGGTAATGTAATTGATGGTGGAGCACCAGAACCATATCCTGTTGGAATAGCACCACCAATTGGACCAAGACTGCTATAATTGAAGCCATCCTTGTAAGATGGAGTTCGTGGAGAATCTACGTCTGAATATGGGCGTGAAAAATAACCATTATTATTGTTTTCTGGTATTGGATAAGGTCTAATAGAGAAGGATTGAAAAAGATTTTAGTTGTCAATCAAGTAGCAGAGAAAAAAAGTTTAAACTTACGTTGAGCCAGCAGGACCAGAAGTAGGACCCTAAATGAAAAAAAGTGTTAAAAATAATTTACTACACGGAATAGAAAATATAAATTATAATTACCTGTTTACGGAATTTCATTAATAAACGTACTTCGCCAGCACCTTTACCACTTGGTCTTGTAATATGAACCCATTGATCAGCATAACCTATCTGATAAACGGTCTCTAGAGAAACCGTAGCTTCACCTTGTTAAAGCGAATTTGCCAAAATAATGAAAGAGTAACAAGAGATTATAAGGTTACATTGATAATAAATAATAAATCTAACCAGAGATGTAGATAATAATAGTTATCATGCCTAAGATATCATTTTCAGCGTTTTCGTTAAAGACTTGTAAGTAAAGATCGTCACGTCCTTCAACAATATCGCTAAAAGCATAAATCATATGAATAGAGAGTATAAAAGACACGAATCACGAGTAATGAGATGCTGAAGATCAAAACTTTTTAATGTGCGTACAAACTAATAAATTTGTCCCAGGAAGCATCCGAACCAGAATTCTGAATTGTTTGTGTTTTCTTCACATTCGCCCTGTCCAAGGATAGAGTAACATATGGATTCACTTTATCTGGAAATTAGTAATTTATACATAGATAAATTCGATATTGTTTTCTTAATTAGATAGTCAATACGCATATTTATTCAAGATACTGACGAAGAAAATCTGCCTCAAGTTGTTTTGCTTCAACTTAATTTTGAAAAAGGATATAAAAAAAAGTTTAATAATCTCAAATTTCAATGGCCAAAATTATACAAGAATTGAATCTTCTTTTTACCAACAATAACTTCGAGCTGACCGTACGGCATACTTGTTGAAAAATGTGAGAAAGAAAAAGAAATGATACGTCAAAGATACTATTATGATCAGTAATTCTTTAAATATGTGATTACCGTAATGCGGAACTTTGCCTTTTTTGGACATGATTTGGGCGAAAATCTTTATACCCCTAAAAAGTTCATTGTTAAATGTTAGACAATTACATCATTCATATGTTGAGTGTTGAATATTATATGAGAATAGTAAGATTTGTCATTATATCAACTTGCTTAGTATTCTTTAATGGCTAATACTTACAAAACAGCATTTTATCTATTGAACTACTAACAAATCGTTTTTAATACCTTATATCTTAAAAACAGATTTTTGGTAAAATAAAATTATTAAAGTTTAGTAATTTGGATTATCATGCTATATTAGTGGTGCCTTTGAACATCACGCATATTAGTATTGCCGCTACACTATGATGCTAACCATATAATAAAAATATTTCGTCATAAAAAAGGTTAAAGTTTAAGCATGAGTGCATTGAACAATGTCAAACAAAACTAGTAATAGTAGATAACTAGGTAGCACAATTTAAACGTAACTAGTACATCAAGTACGTACGTACGTACGTACGTATGTTAAATACAGAAAATAAAGTAGATTTACTATTTATATTAAATTTTTTAAAACAATCATTATTGTTGTAGATTCTACACTAAATATTAACTCTCCTTTACAAGCATGCAAGATCTCCCTTACAATCGGTTCTAATTCGAATTAATTATTAAAATTATATTAAAAAACGTTCATCATTACTATTTAATAAATTTAACTGTTCTAAAAGGCTATAGTAAAGCATCCGGTGTACATGTTATTTGAAAAATCTGCCGATGATTATCACCGACCAATTTAGAAAAT